ACTAAGATAGAGACTATAGCCTAAAAGTTTATTAAACGCGTAGTTGCCTACTATTAGTTACTAGAGGCTATTACCTTAGATAGAGGAAGCTAATTTATAAGCGCCTTTTAGACTAGGCTATACAAGATTCTAAAGGTTAATTAGAGGCTGTCTATAGCCTATTACCTATAGACTAATAAAGTAACTAAAAGGATAAATAGCGTCTAGGAGACCTATATTTATTCCTTTATAAATTAGACTTAGAACGACTAGGCATAGCTCTACCTAATAGCTTAAATCGCGATTAATAGTAGAAACGTGACGTTAATAGGAGTCTTACTATTCTTTCTTTAGCATAGGTACGATATAGAACCACTATAGCTTAAGCTAAGTAACGAGAAACGATAGTAAGAACTAACTAAACGCCTTTTAGATAAGTAGAAGGTAGCTAAGATCGCGACTAAGCTATAATAAGTTATAGAGCTAGCGTAGGTAAGCATAGCAGTTACTTAATAGAAATAGGAGAGATAAGCGAACAGGACTTAGAGAGAAGCACTAAGCTACTAAGTAGGTAATAAGGTTTAGCTAAAGCTTAATTAGTAGTATAGTATAGGGCGTAGCTTAAAGAAGCTTAACTAGAAAAATGCTAAGTACACTATAGTAAAAGTAATTAATAGCTACTTAGTTAAACTAGATACGCCCCTAGGCCCGCACCCTGTCTTTCATGTTGACCGATTGAGACTCGCGAGCAGAGACCCGCTCCCGAACCAGGTTTAGACAGACGATCAGCCCTAGCCGCTATAGGTGGACGGAGAGGACGAATAGATAGTAGAGAACGTAGTAGTAGAGGAGATACGCCGCTAAGGAAGAGGGCGTCGACTGCTCTACGAAGTGAAGTAGAAAGGATTCCACTAAACGACGCTTAAACTAGTAGAACTGCTAGAAGATATAGAAGTAGTAGATTACTAGGAGGCCTTTATGAGTAGCTTTTAGGACGGCGAGGGCCGTCTCCTGAAGGGCTTTTGAAGAGAGAGCACGGTACTACCCTAAGGAGGGGGGTATTGTAACGGGCTGAACGCCCTTTAGATAATCCTTAATAGAATCTTAGTTAACTTAAGGCACCTAATAGGCTACGCCTTATTAGTCTAATAGTTGCTTAGGCAACTGCCTGTAGATAGATAGCTACGTAGCTTAGGAGCTTAGCTCTCTATTAACTACAACCTCTTGTATACCTCGCGATTGCTCCCCGGAGCGCAGCCCCTTACACCTAGACGCACTTAGCTAGTACTAAGACGATTCTCTAGCCTACTAAAAACTAAGAAAAGACTTAGTTAAATCTTCTATTACGCCTATTTCATTTACTTCCTACGTCCCTTTATTATTATTAATATCCTCTAATATCTATTTAATCATACGTAACCGTCAGCGCAGTAGTTACACGTAAACAAAGAATACTTCCTATATAAACTTAACCTTTAACCTACTATTCTTAGTACTTAAAAGTTAAATATAAGCTCTTACTATATTAGATGTATAGACATCTATTATAGCGCTAAAACTTAGTTAAGCGCACATCAACACGCCGTAAGAGGAGACAAGGACTTTCTTTAAATTTCCCGAATTATACTAAAAAATTACTGAGGCTGTCGTGCCTACGATAGCACTACTATGGTTCAACCCTAATATAGAGGCTCACTTTGACACCAAGTACGAGACGAATATTATGGGAAAGTTTATATACAAAAATAAAGATGCAGAAAGCGTTAATAGAGTAGTTAAGTTAGAGCAGTTTAGATTAAAGGATATCCTTATAATAGATACAACGCTATTATGTACAATCAACGTTGTAAGTCTTGCGACTAATTAGGAAGCTTTAAGTTGGACGAGCAATCGTACGTGGAGCGGATTGCGTACAGGCTCAAGAGATGGGCAGGCGTGAGGGTTGAGCTGCCACCATTCAGTGGGCAGAGCAGGGGACCCCATGAAAGTAAGCACTGCGAGGGCTGTAAGGCGGGACATTGTTCACGGGCAGACGACTCCTGATAAAAATACGTATCATCATCATAGCGACATGTGGAGATGAGGCGAGGCGGAATCTCACTGCATCGGCACTGACAGATATTGATATATGCACAACTAATAGTCTGTTTATTAATTCTGCCCACTAAAAGCAAAACCCCTACTACAACAATCCTACTCAAGTGTTCAGTTCTGGAATGTCCCCCATTCCAAAACTAAACTCTGTTAGGCTTAGCGTTAGGGTTCTGCAGAATTCTAAGAGCGTTGAATAAGAACGAGAATCATGCTAGAAACTCATGCAACTTGTGTCACTGATGCAGGAAAGTCATGCGCATCGAACAAGCTGCTTTTTGCTATGCTGCGATATAGATGGCGCAAGTTATTCAATAGCGTATGCTGGAGGGTTGGTGTTCGTAGCTGTGGCCCATGCTGACTTAGGGTTACGCCTAGGGTTGCGCTTAGGGTTGCGCTGCGGGCTTAACCCCAACTTAACCCCAACTTAACCCTAAGTTAGGGTTACGTCTACTGCGTGCAGTTCTTAGGAAAGCACTATAACTACAGATATCTACAATAAAACTCAGAATGATATGTACAAGTGTATGAAGTATATAGAATAGAAATGTATTTCAACTTGCTATCTATGTCGAGATTAGGTGGGCAAGGGAAGGCGGCTTTCAAAGGAAGGCAACTGTTGCCCTCTTCCAGTGAGCTCCCATTCCTGGCTGTTACTCTCTCGAGGTAACTATCGGTTTTAGAACACCCTCCTGTTCTAAAGCTAAACCCTGTTAGGAAATCTGACACCGCTCGGGCCACCCCCTGAGGTAATCTCACGCATTGATATCCTCAACGCAGATAAACAACCGCATTGTTTAACAGCAGATACATACATCATCCCAAGCTAATTGTCGCTAAAGATTATATTGCCTATGTGTCTGCCTCCACGCCGAGCTATAATGGCTGATCACTCAATCTTCCCTGCGCCATCTGTACGAGATCTCCTTGAGCGGCTGAACCTTCATGTCAATGAGCCGGAGCCCACCATTATCTGTTGTACATGCCAATTTGCTCTAAATGGGATCAATTCTTTGGCGGATCATGTGGTAGAGAAACACAAACTCCCAAAGTCTTTGGCAAAAGAGGCGTCCCGACAGCTGAGACCATATACTATTCTGGGGCCGAAGGAGCTGAGGCTGCGACCGGATCATTCTCTCCCTCACCCTCATCTCTCCAAGCATCTCGGGGTCAAGTGCAAGCATTGCGAACTCAAAACAACAAGCACTGAAGTTCTAAGCCGCCACCTCTCGAAGGAACATGGCATAAAGCGGAAGACAGCGGCATGGCGTGGCGAGCATGCAGTTAATAGCCTTATGCTCCAAAGCTGGGACCGAAACGGAGCGTACGGATACTGGATCGTAACAGAAGAGGATCGCTCAGTGCCGATTAGCAGCTCTTTTGATAACAGCCTGCTACAGCAATCTGTGCCACGCATGCAGCGCCTCGAACAGCTACATCGTGACGAGCTCGTACGCATCAGGGGTCAGTTAAAAGGATCAAGCATCGATACCAGCAGCCCTGACATGGCTCTCAACACAAACTGGATGCGGCGCACTCAGTGGGCCGAGACCTTTGTTGGCGCCGATCGGAAACTTCTTGTGCAGCTTGCCCAGATCCCGTGTGGTACCGGGGAGAACCTGGAAATAGGAATCCATGACGGCACGGCCATATTTAGCAGCAAAGAAGATGAGTTTAAACTTCGCCATATAGTCACTACTCTAGATCGCGTCTTTGATCGCTGTGAAGACACTGTTCGCCATACTGACGTCTCCATTCGCTGTTTGCTCCGCAGCTCGTACCCGGACCGTACCTATAAAGCGCCTTTTGAGCTAGTCGGTCGCAAGGCAACCACTCAAGGATACAGAAGGCTCTTCAAGAAGGCCGTGTGCTTTTGCGTGCGCTTCTGGAGATTGGGCGAGCCTGTAAGACAAAATCTCCTACGGAGATCTTTGACAGATGCACAAGATCAGGCACTGAAGCAGCTGTGGCATGATGAGATATGGGCAAGGATGCCCGAAGCCCAAGGGAAGGAGTCGCAACTCTATCCACCCGAGTCAGAGCCCGCTACTCCAGGCGACCTTGGATGGTTGTCGGACGATGACTTTGACGAGATTGCATCAACCATCACAGATAACAGTGTTGAAGAGTTGGACGGGGATGATATGGAAAGAGCCGTTCAGACTCCGCTAGAATGCGTGGGTTCAAATCAGAAAGGCGAAGGGCGCCTTCTTCGTTCGAGGCGCACAAAGCAACCTGCAGTCGAAGACACAGCCTCCATCCCAGTTGATTCTGATAACGAAGGCAATCCTGAAGCTCAAGAAGATACGACAAACGCAGAGTGGACTAATGTGCTAGAAGATGTGATTTTCTGCTTTGTGAAGTCCTGTCGACCGAGGAATATGAAGACGGGAAGCCATCCTCTACCTTGCTAATCTATGCCAGCGGCGTTCTAGGGATTAGCTACGATGGATCCACTTTTGAACGCGCGAAAAGCTATACATCAAAGTTGTCAGCCATGATATACTGTGTGAGAATGATCATTCTTGAAGCCACTCTTCCTCGATTCGCTCATGTCCGCTTGGGGTGGACGGCCAGGCCACGACGCGGGCAGAGTGATCTCCTTAACGAGGTTCGCAAAAAGACTTTGTGCCTAGGATCGCCAGCACCAATGAACGAGCTTCTCAGCCTACGCGATTATGGGCGTGTCATTAGTCGTTCTGACGGTCCGTCGTTTCGTGTGACCTGGAGCGAGGATGGGCAGGTCGTTTCCTGGGACAACGCACAGCTGTCTATGGCACAATTCCGGCAGATTAGCCACGATACCCTGCTAGCCGCGTCGCTTTTGTGCAAACAACTAATGTATGGCTGGAGTCCGCTATTCGATTTGAGTTGCATACACGATAATCTCGCTTGCACTACTGCCGGCTATTCATTGGTGACTGATACGGCAAACGGTCTTGCGGAGTCGTACCTGGACTTACCTCGCAGGGCTTCTCTTGACACTGTTAGCGGCTTGATGACAGACAACGACTGGAATCGCCAAGCCGTTCGTCAGTACTTGGACCAATACTCCGAAATGACTGAGTTGGTGATGTTATTGGTCTATCTCGTAGGGGGGCAAGCCCCACGAGTTACCGAGTTGCCGGCTCTTGAGCACTGCAATGGTCCTTCCACCTCTCGTGGTATATGTGTGTACTCGCGTAAGATGGCTCTGATCTTTAGGCACGGTAAATCCCGCCGGGCAACCAACCACGAATTTATCGTCGTTAGATTTCTTCCAGAAGAGGCGGGCAGACTTATGTACTATTACCTTGTGTTCATACGGCCCTTTGCATGCATGCTCTATCGAGCTTGTCTAGGGATGGACATAGACAGCACCTTGCTCTTTTCTTCGCCAAGTTCCCCAAGCAAACCATTAAAGACGAGCTCACTCACGAAAATACTCATGCGATAAACTACGCTTACGCTAGGTCACTCACTAAGTGTCAAGATATATCGGCAGGTATCGATCGCTATTACAGAGAAACACGTTCGACAAATCTCGAAACCTTTTAATCAGCATAACGATCGGAGCACAGAAGCCGATATCAATGTGGTGTTTGCATGGCAAAGTGGGCATCGACCGTTACAAAGAGGCACAACATACAGCATAGATGGCGCATTTACAGACTCGCTTCAACCTACGCTACTACGATTTTACGAATAGGCGTCAAACGAGTGGCATAAGTTCTTGCAACTACAACCTACAACTAACAACACCCGTCCTAAGACAACAAAAGCTCAGAAGAGAGCATTACCGTCATCTATTAACTAAGGGACTTCGAAACGGCCCCGTACTACTTCTATCACTCAAGGTGAAATAGAACGCCTACTTATAGGGGACAGCCATATTACACTTATGCATGAAAGTTGTAGAGTAGGTAACGGTCCATAAGCAACAGCTATTGAATCTGCCTTTTATAACAGTGCTCCCAAGAACCTCTAGCCAAGGTCCTTACCTATCTTTAGGCGCCCAAGTCCATTTAAGCGTGACGGTGTTATTAAGGGAAGAAAATTAATCTCAGCATATATTAATAGCGGTAAAATAGACTTTAACTACGAGTAGAATTCACGTCGCCGGCTATAGGCTCTAAGTAAAACATTCCAGCAATAGAAGAATGTTAGTTGTCAGCTATACTATGCGAATAATAGGAAACCAGAAGCAGATCATGAACTAGAATGTTATGATCGATAGGATGATTCTGAAAATACTCAACGAATCTTCAACTAGCTCCGAGGCCTGACGCTTCCACGGTTCATAGCTAGCTCTAGAGGTTACACTATATGCTCCTAGACTAATTTTATATATAGAGACATCAAAGCAATAATAAGGCTATATAAAACAGAGCACGAAGAAGTTCAATGGTTTTAGAGAAACCGTCTGAACACATCGCCGCATGGGGATGGTGAATATGAAAATAAGCCTTTAGTAAAAAGGACTATAGCAGCACTTTACGCGTATGACGACCAGATCCTCAGAAAATTTCTATCGCAGCAGCTTCGTGACGAGGAAAGAGTCGACATTATAGCGGAAAATCATATAGCATATTAGTTTAAGAGAATTATTGATTTCGACAGTACAAAGATTTACAGACTTCTTTTTATGTTCGAACTCCTTATACGTGCTTTTAAGTTAAGAAAGTCGAATCCCTTAGTAGAAAAGAATTTCCATGTAGCTGAAGAATTCCCATCTCTATGTAAAAACGGCTAGGATGACGAGGAAGAGTTGTAGGGCTAGCGAAATGCACTAGATTATTATTATTCCATTATAGTCCTGTATCAGCCGTTGGCTATGTAGGACTTTGGCCAAAGGCCGTTCTATCTAACTAGTTACAATTTGGTACGTTGTGCTATATTGCGTGACTGTGGTGCTTCGGCCTTTATCTAGCTAAGCTTTGACTAGCTTTATA